ACTAGAAACCGACAACAGAAAGACAATATATTTGTAATAAACTTTAGAAGTATATTAAAACACATTTCTAAATAATCTATGGGTAAGGGAGGTCATCTCAAGGGAAATCAATTTTTTTTTAAAGTTGGGAGTCTCATCCTGTCACCGAGGCTGGAGTGCAGTGGCATGATCACAGATCACTGCAGCCTCCACCTCCTGGGCTCAGGCAATCCTTCTACCTCAGCCTCTTGAGTAGCTGGGACCATAGGCACGCACCACCACACCTAGCTCATTTATTTTATTTTATTTTATTTTTTTTGGGGTAGAGATGAGGTCTCACTACATTGCTTAAGCTGGTCTCAAACTCCTGGGCTCAAGCAATCCCACCACCTTGGTGTCCCAGAGTGCTGGGATTAAAAACATGAGCACCACACCTGGCAGAAATTAGGAAATATTTTGAAATGAACAAAAATGAAAACAGCAAATCAAAATTTGTGAGATGCAGGCCTCTAGTTAGTAAATTTCTATCTTACAAAGTTAGAAAAAAACAACAAAATAAACTTGAAGCAAACAGAAAACATGAAATAAAGAGCAAAACTCAATGAAACAGAACACGGAAAAACAGTCAATGAAACAAAAGGTAGCCAGTTCTTTAAAGGAACTGAATTCATTGTTAATCCTGAAAATGAAATCTCTAGACTCAGATGGCTTCACTGGTGAATTTTACTAAGTATTTAAAGAAGAAAAACACCAATTCTGCACATCTCTTTCAGAAAACAGAAGAGGAAGGAATAATTTCCCACCTTTCATTAATCTCTTCCTTAATCTAACAAAGGCAACTACAAAAAACATACAGCTAACATTACACCTAATGGTGTAAGACTGAACACTTTCTAAGATCAGGAACAATGCAACATTTTCTATTCTTACCACTTACAAAGATCATCATACTTATCCTAGACAGTATAATAAAGCAAGTATAATAAACCAAGGTAATCAGATTAGAAAGGAAGAAATAAAACAATTACTATTTGCAGACAACATGGATGTCTACATGCAGACTGCCAAGGAACGTACAAAAACACTCCTAGAATAAGTGAGTTTAGCAAGGTCACAGGATACAAGCCCAACATACAAAAAATCAATTGTATTTCTATATACTAACAATGAGCCACTGGATAAATAGTTTACAACACACTCCCAAAGGAAATACAGGTTAAGCCTCCCAAATCCAAAGATCCCAAATACTCCAAAACCTGAAACACTTCTGATTTTGAATAAGGGATATTTATCCAAATAAACTTGTTTAAGTTTTAAAAATAACAATACATATTACACATACATTTATAAAAATAACAGCATGTACATATAAGATCTGAAAACTACAAATACTGATGAAAGAAATCAAAGACCTAAGTCAATGGAGAGCCATATCATGTTCATGGATCAGATGTCACACAGTGAAGATGTCAACACTCCCTAAGTTGATTGATAGAATTAAAACAATTCCCGCAGGATTTTTTTGTTGTTGATGATGATGTAGACAAGTTGATTCCTAAAGTTATATGGAAAGGCAAAGAAACTAGAATCAAAACAATTTTTGAAAAGATGAAAAAAATTGGAAGGAGATAGTCAAGATAGTGTGGTATTAGTGAGAGGAAAGATTCGTATATCAGACAGAGTAGAGTCCACAAATAGACCCCCACAAAGGTACAACGGCAACTCAATAGAGAAAGGACAACTTTCAACAAATGAAGTTGGTATCAATGGATATCCATATGAAAAAAATAAGCCTCAACCTAAACCTCATACCTCATTTTTAAAAAATCACTGAAATAAATGAAAAATATAAAACTTTAAAACATTACAGTTTTCTCTTTGTGATCTGGGGTTAGGCAAAGAGTTCTTAGACATGGCACCAAAAGATCAGTCCACAAAATAAGAAATTGGTAAATTAATTGTATTTCATCAAAATTAAAAACTTTTGCTCTGCAAAAGACATTTTTTTTTGAGTCAGTTTCTCACTCTGTTGCCCATGCTGGAGTGCAGTGGCATGCTCACGGGCACTGCAGCCTCGACCTGCTGGGCTCAGGCGATCCTTCTGCCTCAGCCTTCCAAACAGCTGGAACCACAGGTACATGTCACCACACCCAGTTGATTTTTTTATTTATTGTAGAGACAAGGTCTCACCATGTTACTCAGGCAGGTCTTGAATCCCTGAGCTCAGGTAATCCTCTTGTCTCTGCCTCCCAAAGTGCTGGGATTATAGGCGTGAGCCACTGCTCCTAGCTCTAAAAGACACTTTTAAGAGAATGAAAAGATAAGATACAGACTGGGAGAAAATATTTATAAGTCATATATCTGATAAAGGATTTGTAATACTCAAAGCTCAACAGTGAGGAAAAAACCAACCCAGCAACAGCAACAAAAAAAAGGGCAAAACTCTTAAATAGACACTTTACCATAGAAGGAATATGGAAGGAAATAAGGCACACAAAAAGATGTTCAACATCATTAACCATTAGGGAAGGCAAGTAAAAGTCATAAAGAGCTAATGCACACACCTATCAGAATGGCTAAAATAAAAAATATGGGCAGTACAAATTATTGGCAAGAAAGCAGAGAAACTGGATTTCTCATACAATGCAGGTGGGAATGCAAAATGGCCACTCTAGAAGTTTGGCAGCTTTTTACAAAATTAAATATACCTTTCCATATGACCCAGCATTCCACTCTGAGGTGTATATTCTAGAGAAATGAAAACATATGCTCACTTAAAAACCTATATACAAATGCTTACAGTAACTTTATTTTTAATGGCCAAAAACTAGAAACAATTCAAATATCCTTCAGTGGGTAAATCTAGAACAAACTGTGGTACATCAATGCAATGAAATACTACTCAGCTATAAAAAGCAATGACATGAATGAATCACAGAGATATTACACTGAGTGAAAGAAGGCAATCTTCAGGTTACATCCTTTATAACTCTACTTATGTGACATTCTGGCAAAGGCAAGAGAGACAGAGAACAGATAAGTGTGTGCAAGAGGCTGGAGTGGGGCAACCACAAGAGAAAGCATGAGGGGATTTTTTAGGTGATGGAACTGCTCTGTGTCCTCATTGTGGTGGTGGATACATGACTCTGTGTGTTAAAACTCATAAAACTGTACATTCAAAAAAGTTACTTTTATGGTATGCTGATTTACAATTTTTAAAATAAAAAGAAATTATCCAAAGTTCTTTTTTTAAAATGCCTTAAACAAAATTTTCCATCTGGGTTTCTGTCAGAAAAGTTGTTTTGTGGGAGCTCTGCCATACCAGCCCAGGGTTCTGTAGGCCTGTTCTTCCATCTGTAATACAGAAGATTGGTCCAGAACAGTGATTTTCCATCTTCTCTCCTGGCTCCCCCATATAGCACCCTTAGCACTCCCTCTGTGAAAGTAAATGCAGGTAGGTTTGAGAGAAAGGGCACTTGGCCTCTACTGGACTCTGGAGCTACAATTCTGTGTCAAGTAGAGCAGCTATGCTTTTGTATGTGTTGCTTGTCTGAAAACCTCTGGATTCGAATAGCTGATCCTGAGCCAGATCCTCAGGCACCCAGGGGAAGTGAACAGCCCTGGATTCCAGGGCCTACTGGTGGAGCCTACTAATTTGTCCCTTTGACATCCCCCCTGTGAATTCTGGAAGTCAGCCAGGGGCACAGGTCCTAATGATCAGTGATTCTAAATAAGGCCTTTTGGAGGAAGCCAGAATGTATTCCTTGCTTCGGATCCCCAGGTCACACCTGGGTTATGCACAATGGAAGCTCTGAAAGGGCTTCTAAGTCAGGCCTTCTCTGAGGTAGGGTCTGAAAGGACTTAAATCTTTTCTTTTTTTTTTTTTTGAGTTGAATTCTCACTCTGTCACCCAGACTGGCATGCAGTGGCCACTCCCGGCCACTGCAGCCTCGACCTGCTGGGCTCCGGTGATCCTTCCGCCTCAGTCTTCCAAGGAGCTGGAACTACAGGTGCACGCTACCACGCCCAGCTAATTTTTGATTTATTGTAGAGATGAGGTCTTGCCAAGTTGCCCAGGCGGGTCTCGAACCCACGGGCTCAGGCAATCCACTCACCTTGGCCTCCCAAAGCGCTGGGATTACAGGCTGAGCCGCTGAGCCCAGCCAAATCTTTTCTTTATTTCTTTTTTTTTACACAGGGTGACTTTTTAGAAAAGCATTTTGTAAACAATAAAGGCCTGTGCACAGATAGGGGAAATGACATTATGAGATGACTGTGCTGATCTGAGCCAAAGAAATTCATGACGAGAGCTGCCATTTACATTAAGTACCACCACATGCCAGGAACTGTGCTAAGGAATTATTCAGTCTTCATGGCAACTGAGAAAAGAACTGTCATTGTTTGGACAGATGAGGATACTGAAGTTGCCAGAGGTCCCAGGTTACATGAAGAGGAAGTATTAGGGCTGGGTCCTGGTCAACAGCTCTAGTTTTTCAGGCCAAGGCCTGTGAGAAGAACTTTTGAGTCCTAATATCAAGCTTGTTTTCAGGTGTTCTAGAGAAGGGGACAAATGCCACCTTCATCAAAGGTTGGAGGATTGCTGAGGGCTCTTTGAGACCTTACCATGTACAAAAGCACTAAAGAAAAAAAAATTTAATTTATACCATGGAATGCTTTCTTTCAAAACTATCTTATGTAGAAGTCCCATCTAGAAAACCAGAGTTAGGCCATAGTAGTGAAGGTGGAAGCAGGGGTGGCCAACCCCCAGGACTCTTGGAGCACCACTTGAAGGCTACTTACCCAGTAGACTGAGAAGCACACAAGGTGCCATGATGGTTAAGGCTCTGGCTTTGGATTTGAAAGAATGAGGTGGGATTGTGGAAGACTCACTCCCAGGTTAGTCATTCTGAGGGAGGGCTGTGGGGTTTCAGGCCTGCTATGCCACTGGGTGGTCTCTTTGTACTGCCCACCACTTGCCTCATCCCATCCCTTGGCCAGCCACTCACAGGGTAGAAAACTTATTTTCACCATCTCACAATTAGTGAGACTAATTTTTAAAGTATGGATTATAAGGTTAAAAGCTGCAGCAACTTTTTCTTTTTTCTTTCCCTCCTAAAAGGCATCATCTGTTTTTTTCTGTATCAACAAAAGTGGAAAGTTCAAATCTGGACCTTGGTATAGGACCAACAGCAGTCCTGTACCTCTGACCCCAATGAAGGGCCTGGCAGCATGACTCAGAGTGGAATCATCAAACGGACCTCCTTCTCATAGATGTCAGGGATCACTCCCATTGGGGAATTGACCATGTGTACAGTGTTCTTGCCAAACAGCTGGAACTCATAGTGAATAAGCTGCTCCCAAAAGCCATTGTTGGGCCGGATGATGGGCCGGCATGACTTGGTCCATGTGTGGGCGTCCAGCAGGGACATGGCATGGTACTTCATGAGGTAGGCAAGGCACAGGGTAGCTGAGCGGCTCACGCCAGCAGCGCAGTGCAGCAGTGTACGGCCCTGCTTCATCTCCACACAATGGATGTGGTCAGCGATAGGGTCAAAGAAGTCATAGAGACGTGAGATAGGTGCATCAGCCACAGGCACCTGCATATACTGGATATCCTCATAGAAGGTGTTCACCACCTCCACCGAGACATTAATGACTGTGGTGATGTGGTTGCTGGACAGCATGAGCTTGTTGTTGGCGGCCACGCCATTGCTGATATACAGGCTTCTGGTGATCTGAGAGAGGCCGCTGACTGAGGGCTGCCGGAACTGAACTGGGAAGGCACACGGGGGTGCTGTCATCAAGGCGGTGGATCAGCAGTGAGTGAAGTGTGACAACTGGATCTTTCTGCTAGGCTGTGTTTATGGAAAACTGTAGGGAAGGAGAGGATATTTAGAAGGCAGGACCCCAGCAGGCCAACCCCAGGGGATTTCTGGGAAGTGGATGAATGGGCCCATAGGATACCCCAAGGTGGTCCCCTGACCATCACAGTAGAATTACCCAGTAGGCTTACTGAAATACAGATACTCAGGCCCCTCTCCAAACTGAGTCAGACTCTCAGGGTAAGAAGCATGAATCTGTATTTTCAGCATGTTTCTCAGGTGGTCTAACGTGACTGCCTTACAGAACAAAGTGCAAGTCCCCAAGTGTAGCACTTGAGGCCTCCCGCTAGGGGCTCCACATTTCTAGTCAGGCAGTCGACTTGTGTCCCTAAGCTATGTCCTGGCTTGACTCTCCTTCTGAGCTCACATAGCCCTCTTCTCCTCTCCCAAGTTCTCTCCTGCCTTTCAGCCCCTCTAAGTGGGAACCACTTGCACGGTGTTCCAGCTTAGTCTTCTGACTTTATGCCCAAATCATTAGACCTTAAGCCACTGATATGGAATCAGAGCCCACTGTGTTGGGAGTCACTGGAGGGGGTTGGCATAAGTACAGGGAGGGTTCCAGATTCCCAACTCCAAGAATTATCTCTTTGAAGAGACAGGATATGCCCATATGAAACTGATATCAAGTGCTAAGTCTGAAATTGTTAAACATGCTCCTGCACCTTCCCTCTAAAGAGGGCCTGGAGAAGGGCACACCTGAAAGCCTCCTAGGGGACAGTGTAATGGGGACCACAACAACCCCAGGAGCAAGTGCAGAAAGGCAGCGGGACCTCAGGAAGATTAGCCACACCCACGCCACACTGCCTGTGTAGAACTGTGGCATGCACCCCAGGAGAGGTAGGCCTCTGCTTTCTCCTAAGAAATCTCAGGCCCATAATTGTACCCCACATCTTTAAAATTAAAAATTAAAAAAAAAAAAACAGAAATCTCAGGTCTCCCACTTTCCTAGTCTTAAACAAAGCTGCAAAAATAGGACACGTTTCTATGCCTCACTGAAATAGGGGCATTTGGATTTAGAGCACACCTCTCATGGCCAAATGGCAATCTTCACCAGGCACAGGCAAATGAGGAGCCAAGGTTTTGTTTCACTGCTTCATACATTTCAGGAGCTGTCCACAGTGAGGATAAGAGGGAGCCCTTTAGCTTGGCTCTCAAGGCCATTTGTGACCTGGCTCCTGCTCACCTCTCCAGCCTTCTATTAGCTTTCCCCATGTCCCGAAGGTTCTCAGATAGACTGAGCCATAGGGATATCTTGTCCTCTCAGGCCAGAGACCTTTGCATCTGCTGCTCTCTCAGTCCAGAATCCCCTTTCCTTATAAGCCTATCAGATCCTGATCTGTTCCATTCAGCAAAGGACTGCAGAAGTCTAAGAATCCTTATGACCTTAGTCTAAGGATCACTTTCTTAAAGGAGACCTCCTGGGAGCAACCCCCCACTGCTGCCATGTTTGATCAACTCCCTGCTCCAGGCTTTTTCAGCCCCATGTTCTGTCTTTCCTAACCTTCCTTACTGAAGATGTGGTCTGGCTTTGACCTGACTGATTATTTGATTAATGTCTGTCTCCCCAAGAGACTGTGAGTCCTTTAGGGATATGGAAGTGTCTACCTTAGCTCTCACTCTATCACCCACCAGTGTGCCAAGCTCCATGTTCCCAAGCAAGTGCTTGATAAATATTTGCTGAACGAAGGAATGATGCCAACAACTGTGACTCTTCCTTCTAACTGACAGGTTTTCTGGAAAGGATGAGTTCTCTGGCCATATTTCTCTAGAATTTCAGGGAGGGGCTGGGTTGGGGTGGTTCCTAAGCTTCTAGAAAGGAAGGCCAAAGGTTGCATAGACAAATTATACCTGCCAATGACCTAGAGTCAAATGCATCAGGCTCTCCCCAGGAAGGGCAGAAAGGGTTGGCTGGTTTTTCTAAAGGTTATATGAGGGTAAGGAAAAGCTCCCCAAAGCAAAGTGAAAGTGTAAATGCTAAGGGATCTGGAGGGTTTTGGATCCTCATTGTCAGAAAACCCAGAGGGAAGTGGACTGAGAGACCCCCAATCCAGTGCTCAGTATGTATGGAGGAATGTGCTGTTCATCACAGCAACAAATCTGTGAAAAGACACTACTCTTGAGTGTGAGGATTGTGATGGGAGGCGAGTCAGTCATGTTCATGCTAGTCAAGAAATATTTATCAGGCACTGTATTCAGTGTTGAAGATACTGAAATGTCCAAGACAGTCATGCCCCATTTTCTCAAAGTGCTCAAAGCCTAGAAGGGGAGACAGATATTAAACAGGTAAATACAGGCAAACAGAGCTGGAAAATTGGGATAAAAGTGCCTAACTTAAAAGGATGTGAAGTTAAATGAGATAATCCAGGTAAAGCGTTTCACACAGGGCCTGGCACAGAGTGAGCCCTCTAAAAATGATAACTATTCTTCTTGCATTTGTTAGGGAAGTTAAATTGCAGTGCATCGTGGGAGTGAAGAGTAAAGGGATTTATTCCAGATTGGAGGCTAGGGAGTTTTCTACCTGAAACTGAGACCACCTGAAGCAATGACAAGAGATTTGAAGAAAGTTTAGCATGAGGGAGAGGGAAGTGTAGAAACAGCAACTCAGTTTCACCACTTTACAAACCAAGAAACTTTTGGCTTTTCCCATCTGCTTCGATCTTCAAAGCAACTTAATCAGACCGACATCTAAAGTTAATACCTCCAGTTTATACAAGAGGAAAAAGAGGCACAGAGGGAAAACAGACTTGTTCAGGGTCGCAAAGCAAGGTCCGAAAGCCAGTTTTTTCTGGGCAAAGTTGGCAAACACCGCGGGGCGTTCTTAAAATACCAGGTTGCAAACGTAGAACAATGTTCACGAGTTGATGGGAGCGAGGTGCCACTTCCAGGGGTGGGCCAGGTGGGATTCCTGGGGAGCTGGCATTAGAATAGACCTTACCTGTTGGATGTCAAGAACCCAACAGTCTTACCTCTCTGATGCAGGAGGGCGGGCGGGTTCGTTCAGGATGTAGCCGTGCTGCGAAGCTTCAGGCGAGGGTCTTCCGGAGAGAGAAGACCTGTCACAACCACGGAGCCACAATTTCCGCCAGCCCAGCGCTCTGGTTTCCATAGCAATGGTTCCTCGTTGCGGGGAGAAATCCTGGCCTCGGCTCCGCACCCCAGCGCAGCCCCATCCCAGCTCACCGGTTACCAGCCCCGTGATCACGCCAGAGCCACAGGGGTCCTCGTGCAGAAGCGGAGTGGGGTCAGGTCAGCTCACCTCACCCCACTCCAGTTTGCTGAGCTTGTCTCCACGGTAACGCGACGGGTCGCACTATGGCGGACGCCGAGGGACAATCTTGCGGCGTCCGTAGCTGCCCAGACTCCGCGCACACGCTCCGCCCTCGGATCCCGCCCCCACGCGCGTCTCCCGGACAACGCGCCACGCCCTGCTCAAAGTTCCGCCCCGGGTGTCGCTCCGCGTCCGCTAGCGTCCGCAGCTCACCACCTGGCTGCGGTTTCCGAGTTTTCCTTGAGCATGGAAGACTCGATGAAACAACAGGCTAGGCCTTCGGTCAGATGGAACCTGGGCTCTTCCACAATTTATGCGACCGCCGCCCTGGCGACCGCCAATTCTGCCGCCGCCAAGGGGTCTAAGTCTAACTTCCCGCGCGATAGCCCCGGCGGCCGCCAAGAAATCGGCGCCAGGGTCCGGCCGCAGATCTGCTTCCTGCGGCCGCGGACCTCGCAGCCTCTGGTGATCTTCAGGTGCGGCCCGGGAGCCCAGAACTTTCATCAGACCCTCAGACTTCCAGAAGAGCCCGAAATCTCTCAGACTTGCGCTCCCCCAGCCGGACCCCGGCCCTGGGCATCCCAAAGCCCCTTTTCAGACTCCAGGGGAGTCTGGATTTCTCATAGTCCCAGGCCCCAGCTCCTTCCCAGCTCCTCGGACCCCCAGGAGGCCAAACGCCCTCAGTCCGGACTCCTGGGAGAAGCCAGAATTCTCATCTCAACCTCACATTTCTCCGAGTCAGTCCTGGCCCTTCGGTCCTCCAGGCTTGACATCGTGTGGTCCCAGCCCTTGGGGCCCAGCCCTGAGCCTCCTTAGAGCCTGGGGAGGCCCAGATCTTCAGGCCCCAAACCGCCCCACTCTCCTCTTCTTCAACCTCTATGTTCCCCAGTGGCTCTTGAAAAGCCCCCAGTTCCCTCTGCCTGACTCCAATCCTACCACCCCTTCTATTCCACAACCCCCCTCGCCGCCATCCTCCAGGCTCCCACGGAGGACCCGAGGTAGAAAGCAACTTGGTTCAAAATGACCATTATTTATTACCTGCCCTACTCCCCCCTTCCACTATTGGTAAATTTGGTGCACCACTAGACTTTTATGTCTGATCACTGATCTCTAAACCAGCCTTTTCATCACCTCATGTTTACCTTGTGTTGCTGTGCACGGAGGTCAGAAAAGTGTAAATGGGAGATTGGCATGTTTGTTTATTCATACTAGTTTATAAATATAAAAAAATTCATAAACCTATAGTTCTAAATTGGCTGAAAATGTGTTAGAAAAATTTTGAATACTTCAAAATGTTTTATCCTTTAGAAATTGTCTTTCTTTGTCCTAAAAAACAAAATAATGTTTTGTTTTGTTTTGTTTTGTTTTGTTTTGAGTTGGAGTCTCATTCTGTCGCCCAGACTGGAGTGCAGTGGCACGCTCCCGGCCACCACAGCCTCGACCTGCTGGGCTCTGGCGATCCTTCCACCTCAGCCTTCCAAGTAGCTGGAACTACAGACGCACGCTACCACGCCCAGCTAATATTTTATTTATTTATTTATTGTAGAGATGAGGTCTCGCCAAGTTGCCCAGGTGGATCTAGAACCCATGGGCTCAGGCAATCCACTCACCTTAGCCTCCCAAAGCGTGGGATTACAGGCTGAGCCACCGAGCCCGGCTGAAATAGTGTACTCTTATAGAAAAACAAGACAAGACAAACAAAATGAGTGGCCAGAGACAATCAGTGTTAACATTTTTGTGTGTATTTTCCCAGATTCATTGACATATGTGTTATAACATGTTTATACATTTTTGTGGTGTTTTGTTTTGTGTGTGTGTGTGTGTGTGTGTGTGTGTGTGTGTGTTTTAGACAGGATCTCTCTTGTCTCCCAGGTGGGAGTACAATCATACCTCACTGCAACCTTGAGCTCAAACAATCTTCCTGTCCTAGCCTCTGGAGTAGCTGTTACTACAGGCATGTGCTACCATTCCCAGCTTTTTTTTTTTTCTTTCATTTTCTGTAGTAATGGGTTCTTGCTGTGTTGTACAGGCCGGTCTCAGAATCCTGCCCCCAAGCTATTCCTGCCTTGGCCTCCCAAAGTACTGGGATTACAGGTTGTTTTTAAAAAAATAAACAGAAAGTTCACTTTTTAATAACCTGCTTTTTTCTTCCCATCTAATAACCATGGATGTCTATGTTTCATACATAATTACATGTATTTTATTTTGACATATGAAAATTTATTCAATTGTTTCTCTGTTGTACATTTAGTTTCTAACTTTTATAGCAATTGTTTTTAAATGGACAAAAATGTTTAAAGATGTATATTTGTAAAACCAGTTAATGGTGTAACTAAATTATCAAAAAGTAAAAACTCAGTGCCTGGAAATATCCCATTTTCCACCACCTCATTGCGTCCAAAGTGTTGTATTTTCACCTGGATCACCTGGCTCCATTTTACCCCCACTCCACCTCATCCCATCTTCTATCTCTTACCTCACAGAGTCTCTTAAAACTCTTGTGCACCCCAGTCTTCCCTCACTTTTCTAAGCTTCTTCCAAGCCCTCTTCCCTTAGAATTCATTTGTTAACCACCCTAACTTCTGTCCAAACTCTTGATTCTCATTTTTTCCTGCTCTGATCTACTCCCCACCCCCTGCCTCCCAGACCTTTTTAGACCTGTGCTCTACAGTAAATGCCCTCCCACCTCAACCCCCCTCCAGTTTATCCCTCTGAACCCTCCCCTCTGCTAAGACTGTCACCTCCCATCTCATTCTGTATTTCCTCATTGAGATAACTGCTCCTGAGGACAGTTTTGAGTTCTTGTTAACACTTTTCTTGTGGACTGCTCTGGACCCTTCTGTGTCCTCAGGATGGCTTTTATTCTCAGCTTCCAAGTAATACCCCGTTAGTGCACTTTTTCCAAGAAGAAATCTGTGGTTACTCCCTTGCTTCTCTGAAAATTATGACAGAGCTATGTTTGTTCTAATAAACCTGGAGAAGCCTCAGCCACTCCCTCAGTACCCCATGAAATCAGGTCCTGGCCCTGACCCCAGCTCCAGCCATCTGTAACCTGTGCCACCTTCCCTTCCCCCTCCAGCGTAATGAATTCCAGTGAAGCAACAGTGAAAAATTTGTTACCCAAGAGCCATTTATCGCGGGTGATTATACGTGACAACCTCAGTGCACAACGAATCTATGAGATGGAGGTAAAGTAGCCATGAACTTTTATGTTAGAGAGTGTTAGTGGCTTGACCCATATTAATTTATTCTCCCTATATCGTGGGGAGTATTGCTAGGGGGAACCACAGATCACAGGGATGGCAGGGAGTCATCAAGGTGCCCTAGGGCAGGCCCCATTTTACAGAGGAGGCAGTTGACCTGCTGGAGATGCCATACCTATTCCTAGGCTGAGGGAGTCAAAGAGAAGGACTCCATGTCTCTGGCCTTGTGGCATTTTTTTCCCCCTCAAAACACATTATCTCTCTAGGGAATCCATGAATGGATTCCTATTATCTTCTAGAGTTTGATTCAGCATCAGCACTATCTTGTCAGTTTTTTTCTTCAGGGATTATCCCCACTTTCCAGATCAGAACTGAGGCTCTTCTCACACTTATGGACAAGTAGGGTTTGACCTACTTATTCGAAAGCCCAAGTGCTGTCATCCCACTGTTCTCCATAGACCCTGACTGATTAATTTATAAAGCCTGTCTTTAGGGCCTGCTTGGGACAAGCCTTGTGTTGAGCACTAGGTAGAAACTAATGAATATGATGAACTCCAAGAATGTACTCATTTCTTTAAGCAGAGAAGGGAGCCCAGCATTGAGCTGCTGCCCTCTTCCTGACTCTGTTAAGCTTCCCTGGGTTCCAGGGTCAAATCTGTTCCAGGGTCAAATCTGGATGGACCAATGGGAATCTGGCATCAAAAAGAGTTGGAGAGCCTTAAGAGTCAGGGCCAGATCCCTTGAGGATCATAGAGACCAAAAGAAGAGGAGGGACCTGGGCATTCCTCCTTCTGCTAAATTTCCAGTGGTGTGGTGTAATGGAAATAGATGGGTAGGCCAGCATTGTATGATCTTGAGTGAATCACACTTCCTCCAGACTCTATTTTATCATTTGTAAAGTAGAATCTATTAAGATTCTCTCAGTTGAAAGTGATATAAGCTGAACTTGAACTAGTTCAAGTAAAATGAGGTTGATAGGTTTACATAATCAAGGATTGCCAGGGCAGGGCTGCCAATGTTTGGGATGAGAACAAACAGGGGTTGCAATACCACCAAGTGTTTCTTCCATTATCCCTTATCACCTCCTTTGCTGCTTTCTGAATGTTGGCATCATCATCAGGTTGAGAAATCTGGATCTATGGCAAGGACCATGCTCAAGATGGAGTCTCTAACTGAGAGAGGCCAAAAAGCCTGCTTTCATGAGTAGACTAGAAAATGGTGGCAATAGCAACCACTTCTCAATGGCTAGATCAGAATCATCTCAAGTACACGATAAAAATATAGATTGCTGGTCCCCATCCAAATCCTGCTAAGATAGAATCTCTGAGCTCTGTATTTTTATCAAGCAGCTGAAATGTTTTGGAGAATACCAGTTTGAACTGTGTCATTTGGTGCCCATATTTTCTGTCACCCACCCTCCCTCTTTAACTCCTTGTGTCATTGGCCTTTATGAAGAACTCCCTTGCTTAACCTCATGCTAGGTCTTCAGATAATGTTAGTGCTTATAATAATCTCCTGGAGGGCTTGTTAAAAATGTAGACTCCCAGGATCACCTCCCACTGGATTGTTTCTACATACCTCAAACCTCCTCATCCTACAAAACCCAACACCAAATTACATGCCAACCCCATCCCTGGAGCTTTTCTTGATGTCTCCCTTCTTTGAACTCTGTTCTTATTTTAGGGGTATATCACTTTCTGCCTTGCTTAGCAGTATTTGGGCATGTAGCTCACCTCCTGAGTACATTGCAGTTACTGTGAAGACCTGTGACTGATTTGTCTTAGTATCACCTTCTGTCGCTAGCTTATTAGAATAAAGAAATGAATAAGTCATAAGATATGTCTTCCCAGACTTCACTGTCTTCTTGGGAACAGGGCAGAAATTATATGGTAGAAGAAATAAGTAGAATTCAGTCTGGTAAAGAGAATGTCACAGACAATATGTGGGATGCACAAAATGACTAACAGGGACAGGGTGATAGGAGTTACAGAAGGAGGGAGAAACAAGATGCACCCTGCCCCCAAGCCTAACATTTCCCATCTATTTTTGACTAGTCTTCAGAAAGAGATGCTGTTAAAGCCAAAATCAGTGTCTTAGTCTGCAGACTGTCAGAAGGTATCATAAAGGTTACCTAAACTTAATGCCCACTTTTTACAAAAAGGGCAACTGAGGATCCCTGTGAGTCAAGGTATTTGTGGAATGAATATTGGGTCCAGCTGGCACATTTTACACTCCCAAATCAGCAGCACAGATGTCTTTTTTGCTGTCAAGTGGCTTTTTAAACTTAACTTCACCTCTGTTTTTTATAAGATAAGAGCATCAGACAAGACCAAGAGAAAGATGAGCCACTTGTATGATCACCTGAAAAAAAAGTTCATGACAGACCAGCTCAGAAAGCTGGGGCGCTGGAGACGGGAATCCATGAATATCCGGCAGTACTTGGATAGCATCCGTGTGCACCAGGTTCAGCAGAAACCCCAATCTCCTACAAAACACCAGCCACCCTAGTCCTGGCAGCATCATCTGCCTCAGGCCACAATGACACTATTCTGACCAGAGGAGAGGTAGCCTACACCATTACAGAACAATAAACTGAGACCAGCAGACAGCGGAACACAAAAACCCTTCAACAATCCTCATATTCCTTGCCCCACCCATCCTCTCTATTCTGGTGGAGGAGATCCTGATATTCCTGCAGATGCGTGAGCAGAAAAGGCTGAATCAAGTCAGCTTCCATAATTGAAGCAAAGATGGATCTGTCGGTGCCCATATGTCTGAGGTGGGTGACATGCCAGGCCAGGTGTGCTGGGACAATAGTACCTTAGATGAGAGGGACTCAGCATTCCAGTGGAAAGTAGGTCAGGGTGGGGCATCAGGTGGACCTGGCTTAAGTGCTGTTTCTGCCACTCATCAACCATGTGACCTTGTAACCTCCCTGAGCTGCTGTTTCCTCATCTGAAAGAATGAGTAGTAGTAAGGGAAGATCTGGCATGAGGATGTAAAGTGTTCAGCCCAGAGCCCATCATTTCTTTTTTTTTCTTTTTTTGAGTTGGAGTCTCACTCTGTCGCCCAGGCTGGAGTGCAGTGGCACGCTCATGGATACTGCAGCTTTGACCTGCTGGGCTTAAATGATCCTTCTGCCTCAACCTTCCAAGCAGCCGGAACTACAGGCGCGCGCTACCACGCCCGGCTAATTTTTGATTTATTGCAGAGATGAAGTCTCACCTGGTTGCCCAGGCTGGTCCCGAACACGTGGGCTCAGGCAATCCTCTCACCTTAGCCTCCCAAAGTGCTGGGATTATAGGCGTGAGTCACTGCGTCAGGCCTAGGGCCCAACATTTCTAATGACTCTCATCATGATGGCTCCAGTGGCCTTCCAGGCCTGCTGGCCCCCACTCCCAGTTTTGCCTGCTATCTTGACTGTACCCTGAGAGTCCGCACATTGTGCCTTGACTTGTGAAGACCTCTTATCTAGAATGCCTCTTCAGGCTTCCCAGAGCTCTCAGGAAACTCTCTTCATCCTTCAAGACTCAGTGCCACTTCCAGAAAAGCATTTCTGACCTCCTCTCTCCTATTCACCTTTTACCAAGTCCTGCCTAAGTCCCATGGGCTTCCTTTCCCCGCTGAATGTAGATTACCTGTGGCAACTTCGTTCTGCCTTGCATGGCGGCTGCTGCGGTATTTGTTCTAATCCCTGATTAGAGTGTACACTCTTTGAGGGTAGGGACCAAGGATCCTCCAAGATTCAGTTCAGCCTCTTTTCTTTGATGCCAGCTGGCCCCAATAGAAAAGGCCATTCCCTCCTGTGCTTCTGGGTGCCCACACCTCTGTCTCTGTACTAAGTGCTTGGGGTATACCATTACTTGTTTGTACACTGTCTTTCCCACTTGGTTGTGAATGCTTTGATGACAGGTGCACTGACTTAGCCATCTCTGTAACCACAATGCCTAGTGAATGGAGTAGTCACTCAATGTGTTTTGAGTAAATAGCTATCTTTTTCCTCCTTTTACTACTCGCAGCATCAGGACAGTGCACAGAGTAAGGTCCTGGTACATATTTTTAAATTTAATTAAGTCTCCTCTTTTTTTTTTTGTTTTTTTTTTTTAGTTGGAGTCTCACTCTATCACCCAGACTGGAGAGCAGTGGCCACTCCCGGCCACCACAGCCTCGACCTGCTGGGCTTCGGCGATCCTTCCGCCTCAGTCTTCCAGGTAGCTGGAACTATAGGTGCGCGCTACCACGCCCAGTCAATTTTTTGATTTATTGTAGGGATGAGGTCTCGCCAAGTTGCCCAGGCAAGTCTCAAACCCGCGGGCTCAGGCAATCCACTTACCTCAGCCTCCCAAAGCACAGGATTACAGGCTGAGCTACCAAGCCTGGCTGAGTCTCCTCATTTTACAGATGAGGAAACTGAGGCCCAGAAAGGTGATCTGACTTGCCCAAGGTCATATGCAAGTTAGTGGCCGAGAACTAAAACCAGGTATCTGACTTCTGTGGGGTGGTCATTCTGCATCACCACAGCAGCTAGGTAAGGACCTTAGTACTCCTGAGAGCTCTCAGAAGTCCTCAGGAAGTGGTCCTCTCTCCCCATCTTCATCTTCCTCCTTGCTACTTCTTCTAGCACTGCTGCCTGGTACCATTTGGCAGGTTTTCCTTTAAGCTGGATCTCAAGGAGTCCAAAGGGGCCTGGGTCAGGGTAGGGAGATGTTTATGATGTTTTTATTTTATTATACCTCTTTATGGTATTCCTTTGAGGTCCAGAGCCAGCTAATTTTCAGTGGGAGGCTTTTGGCTTTGTTTACAGTTTTTTTCTGTGTTCTTGTCTATTTCCCTGGCTGAGCACAACTGATTAGAATAAATTGATTTTAAATATTTAAGTATATTTTACAAGCAATGTGACCACATTCACAAAAACAAACAAACAGAAACAAAAAAAAAAACACCTCACCTCTTCTATTGCCTCAACCACTGCTAACATTTTGGTGTATTTCTTATATTTGGTATATTCTGGTGACTTAGAATGGTTTGACTTGTGATTTTTCAACTTTATGATGGTGTGGAAGTGATAGGCGTTCAGTAGAAACTGTACTTTGAGTACCTACACAACCATTCTGTTTTTTACTTTCTGTAACAATATTCAGTACATGACATGAGATATTCATTACTTTATTATGAAATCGGCTTTGTGTTAAATGATTTTTCCCAACTGTAGGCTAATGTAAATTGTTCTGAGCATGTTTAAGGTAGGGTGGGCTAAGCTATGATGTTTGGAGGTTAGTTGTATTAAATACATTTTCAACTTTCAACAGGTTTATCAGGATGCAATCCCACTATAAATCAAGGAGTATCTGTTCTTGCTTTATTTCAGCAGGTCTTTTTCCCCCTGTGCATGTTCTGGAGAGAGGAAGGGCTTTGGGGATCCTGGAATTTTCAGGGACCCTACAAAGCAGCACCAACCCCTCTCCTCTCTGAATTGTCCTCAGGAAGCTGCTACCTCCCAGCTTTCACCTAATGCTGCCTCTCTGAGACTTACCTCAGTTCAGTCTCCAGTCACAATGCACCTTTCTCTCCTGAATGACTGGCCTTGGTGGAGGGTCTCTGTGTCCCCATGTGGTAGCCCAACAGATTGCAGGACTTTTGGGAACGAAGCAAGTGGGAGAAGTTGGGATGTCAACCCAGTGAGTCACTTTATAAGTCATAACTCAACTTTGATTGGTTGGACTTAGTCTTCCTATTTTTTATTAAAAACCAGAGGATGTTGCATTTAAGTAGAGAACAAAAAGCAATGAAATTATTGAAAGCCACTTAGGTATTGGGAAAGAAGAAGATTAAAAGGGTCCCAAACATTCTTTAGTCCAACAGACACACACACACACACACACACACACACACACACACACACAGCTCATTTCAAATGAAGTCTTACCCAGAAGCCCATTCCAGTAATCAAAGTCATATATTAACATGTATTAAGCACTCATATGCCAGGCACAAAGTTCATCTCTTTTCAAATATGATCTCATTGAATCCTCTCAACAACAAAATAAATACTTTTATTAGCCCCATTTTATGGATGAGAAATTGAGGCTCAAAGAGTAAGAATCCTGCCCAAGACTGGATGGCTAGTAAGTGACAAAATCCAAACCAAGTTTGTCTCACTCTGAAGCCCATCTCTTAACCACACCATGAGGTCCCCATCTTTATCACTCCAGAGCACCGATCCAAATCCCCATCCAGTCTCGCTCCATGATTTCACAGATGATGTTGTGGGAGCCCCAGCTTTAATGTTAGTTACTTGAGGTTAGCAGATCTGGACTCAAACCCAAGTGTCTCTTGTACCAGGGGACTGAAGAACTTGTCACCCATTCCGGGATGGATAGGCCATTAGGGTTAGGGAGATGTGGAGGACGGAATACTCACCAAAAAGTGGAACGATGGGATACAATAGTCCTGACCATTGGGAAATCGTTGTAGCATATCCCTTGTGGCAGAGGCTCTATGATAATGGCCATGGACAGATGAAGAGTGCCCTTTCTTTCTTTCTTTTCTTTTTGAATTGGAGTCTCACTGTGTCGCCCAGGCTGGAGTGCAGTATCACACTCACTGCCACCACAGCCTCGACCTGTTGGGCTTAGGTGATCCTTCCACTTCAG